CCTCACCCCCACCCCCCATTATATTACCCAACACTTACTTTTCCAGTATGGACATAATAATTGGAGGTAGAACCAGTATAGGCATTGGCAGGACCACTCTAGTCAGGGCCGTTTCTAGCAGTGCCTGAAAAGGAAAAACAAACAAACCCAAGACATTTAAACCAAATCTCAGGATGTACCTTCGCTTAGCAATCAGCACGTGGGCACAGAGATGGTTTGGCTGGCCTTTCTTCTGTCACATATGTGAATGAATGTATCAACACACACTTTCAACTTTGCTATCAGCTATTTGTATACAGCCTATTTTCACTCCGTTGCTACAAATAATGGGCTGGAGCCCATGCTTGGTCATAAATCCAGTGGAGTAAACAGAGACACCAAACAGCTTCCCTCATTTGTCTTTATGTGACCAAAAGTGCTCCAAGATCTCCTCGTATTCCTACACAAACATGTTAGTGCTGCCTGGAGGAAGAAAGAGAGGTTAAACAGCTGCCTGGAAGGCGTTGTAAGGTGAAATATTTCAGTATGGGCTGAGCAGCAGCTCCAACCCTCCCTCCCTCAACTGAGTTTCAATTTCAGTTACGTGCTGGGGCAACGCAGCACCTTGTTGTCTGCTCCAAGACTTGTTTCTGGTTTTGGTTCACTGGTGGTTTATTGCAAAGCATCACACACAGGGCTCTGCTCTCCCAGAAGGACGCCCAACTGTAGTTGCCCCTCCACTCGTGCTTTCTCCCTGGCAGCAGGAAGCAGCCAACAAAGCAATGTGATTTGTATAAACTACCCTGAGATGAGACCTCGAGAAGATCATGGCTACTCAAGCAAGGTGTATCACCACCACGGTGTCTTCATGTGCCTCTTCCAACCACCTTTGCCAGCACCCTCACGAGATGCCCCAAGCACTGCGACCACACATGGGGCTTTGGCAGATGTAGGCAAAGGATACCCCAGATTTTGGATGGAAATGATGAAGGCTTGGGAGCACTCACTCCTTCCAAATAGGAGGAGGTCCAAGAGGCACAGATGTGTTACACTGAGGATCTGCCAAATTTTACACGACAAAACCCAGTACTAAACTATTTGGGAAGAAGGACTGGGATTAGATGGCAGCTGAGCAGAAGTTCTCAGAAGTCCCAAATTTGTTTAAAATGCATGTAAACCACACCTGAAGTACCTTCACTTTTAATATTTAATTTTTATGTTATCTGTCTTCCCCTCGACCATTAGGATGGAGAGGGGAAGCTGGGTCCTAAAGCCAGTTAATGTAAGTGAGGAAAACTGGCTCAAATAAGTATCTCTGAGCCCTTCAACAGATTGTTTTAATCTCCCTGTTATACAACAATATGGAGAGATATTAGAGATCTCCCATTTCTTGCCGAGGACTGTGAATCTGTACATTAATTGCTGTCTACGAAGTGCCTTAAGAGCCTTGGACAGAAGGAGTGAGAGAAATGCCAAGCATTATATTATTAACTCCTCTGCCTGGGCGTGTGCTTCGGTACATGCTTTACATTTCAGATTAAAGCCCACTTGGAAACAACATGCCTCAGACAATCAGATGATGCTCAGAAGACAAAACTATGTAAGAAGGGAAGAAAAGGGAATAATTGCAGGCAGATGGCAGAGAGTGGAAGGTGATGGGGGAAAACAAAGCAGGTGTTAGGACGAGGACAAAAACATCTGGCTACCCTCACAATGCTTTGGTTGGCAATTGTTAATGCAGTTTGGACACGGCAAGGGTTAAAAAGCTACTCAGCTCGAAAATGAAGTCTTCCTCATTTGGAAAAAGGTGTAAGTTATCTTTGCTGCGTATTTAACATGAACCGCTTACAAGTTTCCACAAAGAAATCCTACGGCTGTGAAAGCACCAGGGTAGTAGAGGATCTTCCTGATGTCAGTCTGTGCCCCTCCAAACCACCAAGGCTGGCCACGGAATTTCCCTGCAGGACACCAGCCTGTGACCACACTCAGGTTTGGGGCTACGTAACCGCACGCGTGGGTACAGCGCAGGCATTAAGTTTCCCTGTTTCATTCTTCCTTCACGATGGGTAAAGCTCATCTATTTCTAGCTCTTTTAAGTCACCAGTTCCTACGGCTGTGGGATATGTTGAGGCAGAAGGCCAGTTGTGTACAAGCTCACCCCCGTGCTGGCCAGGAACATCACAGGTACCTACATGTTTTGCAGCAATTCTGGAAGACCCGACAATGTTTCCGTTATTGTCCAAAACATCAATTCCTTCTTCCAGCTCCGTGTGCCTCATCAGGACAACATTGCAGATATTGGCACTAGCTGAGGATGAGAAAAGCATGATGATTAGCAACGCAGCCCTGGTCAATACCAAATGGCAGGCTTCTGTTCGCCATGACAGCCCTTCAGCTTTGCTTGCAACAAGCTGCCAAGAAGCTTCTGCAAGTCAAGAAGCCACTCTTACAGCAAGACAAAGATGTGGTTCTTAAGCAGAGAATAATAACCAAGATAATTTTCTTTTACTCACAAAAGGATCTGCTGCCACAAAAAGAAACGCATTGATTCAAAGAAACACCAGCATTTCCAGGTGTTGCCGTTCTCCACAGCGATCCTTCCCCCAACATTTCAATCTACTAAATCACACAATCCCAGAATCACTCCGGTTGGAAAAGCCCCTCAGGATCACCGAGTCCAATCCTCAGCCCGACTCTACAAAGTTCTCCCCTACCCCACATCCCCCAACATCTCCTCTAAGTCAAAACAGGTCCTTGTACTGGGCGGCCAGTTGGTCTTGGCCAACCAGGCACTGCTGATTGGCAGCTGCCCCTTCTGACGGCACATCCCAGAGTGGGTCTTAACTCCCCTTACTAGGTCAGCAGACAAACTCTTCCTAAATAACAGATTTGAGCAGGTATGATGGAAATACACTGCAAGGGATTGCACTGAGCTCTGAAGGACAGCTAAGATCTGAGCTTTTAAGAGGACAGAATTATTTTTTTAATCAAATAAGACGAAGTTGGGTTGCTTCCACGGACACGTATCCTATTAGTGAGGGTCCTGCTGACTATTTGTCCTTATTTCACCTGGTTTAGGGGAAAAATGGCTCTGTTGGCTTATTTTCTAGAGTTAGAGATCCCTTTCTTTGCTTTAACGTTATTTTTCTGCACTATGACACAAACCAGCAGTGCTTTGGATGGCTTGGGTTCCCAACTGACATTTCCCAGATCTCAGCCCTGCATTCATGGCAGAGGTGGGAGCAGGTCTGGGACCCTTTCTGACAACCCCCCCTTGCCCAGCCCGTGGCTTTTGTAGCCTTCTCGAGGTGACCCCAAACTCTGCTCCTCAAGTAACATGTTAAGGGTGGGGGTTGAGAAACATCCTTCCCAGGTGCAGCTCCTCTCCGGGGCCCAGGCACTTCTTAAATTTTTCCAAAGAAAAGCTCCTAATTCCTACAAAAGTTTTGGGTTTGACAAACTGACATTTTCCTGCCACTCCCCCCCCCCCCC